AGGGAACAGAGTCAAACTTTAAAAAAAAAACTTTTCTAGGTTATTAAAATTTGTTTGAGAATTGCTACTGTACTTCTTTGCAGTAAGCCCATAATAAAACTGATATGAGTTTATGTACTTTTTGCAAAGACTGCATGTAAGAGACTGGTTAGGTAACTGAACCTATGTTCTGACTTTGGTTGAAGGAGATGAGATGGATTTATCAACCTGGGCAGATCCAAGGAATCCAGAATACTAGGAGCTTGTTTCTGATAATTCTTTTAGCTTCAGTTTGTGGAAGTTCACTGGTTTTGAGAAGCTATGGGAAGATGTCTCATCACTTGAGGTTGTTGTCTCATTCCAGGCCCAAGCTCTGAAGTTCTGGCCCACAGGCCATTCCCACTTCATTAAAGAAGAAGCACAAGGTACCAGTGTGGCTCTCAGAAAACCAGATCACGTGTCTGGTGTGTGAAGGCAGTGACAACAACTCACGGAAAAGTCAATACTTACCTGTTGAGTCAAAGTGGATGAAAGGACAATAATTCATCTTGGTCTTTATGGCAATGAAGAGGCAAAGACCTCCCCCCACCCCACTCACCCACACAGTCATAAGGGAATGAAAATAGCTGAATATTATATCTATCTTCAGGCAGAATGCTAAGAACAGAGTAGGCTTTCAGAACTGATGAGTTGACAGATTTATTTTGAAATTTGATCAATTTCCAGTAAATTTTAAGTGTTTTGATTTTTATCTTTCCTGTCTATCTCATATTCATTCATTCAAAGAGAGAGAGAGAGAGAGAAAGAAAGAGAGAGAGAACCTGAAGCCCCAGCTGTCCTGAAACTCACTATGTAGACCATTCTGGCCTTGACCTCACAGAGATCTGCCTGTCTCGGCCTCTCAAGTGCTGGGATTAAAGATTGAGCCCCCCATACCCTAGACCCAAAGCTTCCTGGAGCCAGCAGCTTGCCTGGGTAAGTTTCATTGCACCCACAGTGCCTTGACTCCCCCAGGCTCATTCACCCTCCTAGCTCCCCCACACCATCTCTCCTCCTAGCAGGGCACTGGCCCATTTCTTGTCACGGCACCCCAGACCCATGGACTGACCTCTTAGCCCAGAATCCCCACTGCTTCCTGATCCTTTGTATCCAGACCAACCCATTTCCTCCCTGAAGTCCCCAGGAGCCCTCAGGCCTCTTTTCTCTCCCACCTCCCTTTGCATTCCTGTGGCCAGCATTTTTCCTAGAGGGAACCAGACCTTAGGAGAAAGCCTGAAAGCATCTTATCCTCATCTGACTTGGGACTCTGTGGGAATTCTTGAGCAGCAAGATGAAAGAAATTTGGCTGCACCAATATAAAATAAAAAGAGAGAACCTGAAGCCTAGACCAACCAGATTTTCATGCCCAACAAGTAAACCATAAAGGCACATAAAGTTTACAAAAAGAAGCAGACTAAACTCAACAAAGTAAGGCTTGAGTCTCACACAAGAACCAGAAACTACAAAAGAAATCCACACGTCAAAGTCACAGAGAAAAAATAATCACATGAAAAACCCAAATAATATATCCCTACCAAGTACCAACAGTTCTATAGAAGAATACAATGAGAAGCCCCTTGAGATAACACAGGACATGGAAATCAAAAGAACAATTATAAACATGATAAAAGAATTCAGTGAATTTAAAGAATACACAAAGAAAGAAATCAAAGAATTGAAAGAAGATAGGGAAAAACTTCTGAATGAATTCAGAAAAGAGCTAGAAATATTGAAGACTACTCAGGCTGAAATGAAAAAGGAAGTAAATTTCTGAATGAATTCAGAAAAGAGTTAGAAATATTGAAGAATACTCAGGCTGAAATGAAGAAGGAAGTGAAACACTCAGTAAGCCAATTAAAAATGACAAGAGAAAGCCTCACCAGTAGGATGAATGAAATAGAAAACAGAATATCAAGACTAGTAGAGAAAGTGGACAAATTAGATGACTCCAGCAAAGATTACGAAAAATTTAAGAAAACACAAGAATGGAATATGCAGGAATTGTGTAACACCATGAAAAAACCAAATTTATGCATCATAAGCATCCGGGAAGGAGAAGAATCTCAGGATAATGGTATGGATGAGATCTTCATAGAAAACAAAATAGACAGGACCAGAAAAGAAACTCTCCATGGCACATCATAGT